GACGCCCCTTTGGTAGAGGTTGGGAGGGAGGGAAGGAGAGCGGCGGTTGCGGGCTTGGGGGGGGGGCAACACTACCATGAAGCCTTCTTCGAAACCCGCACCTATTGGGCAACCGCTTGGGCGGGCATTGGTTCGGGGGGAATCCCTCCTTTTGTCATGAGGGCGAGTAAGAGCCACCCATTCTCCCTTGACCTTGCAGTGCCCTCCTCTAGTCCTCGCCTGAGATCCCCGCTTCCCAGCGAGTCCTCTTTCTCCCGTTAGCTTTGCGTCGCGGAACATTTGGCTGCTCACGAACACAATAACCAGAGCAGTCACGGGTCTGAGGCGTGACGACATCACGGCTTCCGAGCGAGGCTCTGCAAAGAAACTGCTGACTTGGCTTCCCCGCCATCCCCTTTCTCCCCGCCTCCAGTATCCTACCTCTCTCTCTCTCTCTCCCTTTCTCCCTCGGGTTTTTAAATGGAACGACCCCGGGCGCCTTCTTAAAAATATCGTTGATTTGCTCAACTCAGCAAATGCTGGCCTCTCTCACCCCCCTTCCCCCCTCCCAAATACTGGTCTGGGCAAAGTACAAACGGGGACAGCGGGGAGGTGCGTTCCTTGTTCAAAGAGTCCAGACGTCCGTAGGCTGTGGTTGAGGACTTCGTCGATTTAGACAGAACCCCACCTCCGACCCCTCACCTTCACTACCCGGTAAATCTGAAGCGTGGCCTCCATTCTTCCTGGCGTGGGAACGACCAGGTCCTGCGGCAGAAGTAGTGGCTAACCTTTTCCAGCCTTTACCGTGGGAGGGGGAGAAAAAGAGAGCGCCAGTCAAGAAATGCCGATCCAGCAGCATCGGTAGCGGGAGGTGGAGGCGGAGGGGGGGAGAGAGAGAGAGAGGAGGAGGAGGAGGAGGAGGAGGAGGAAGGAGCCAGCGTAGTGTGTGTAAAGGAGGGAATAGTGTCAGTGGGATGGTCCGGAAATCCCGTGATAAAAAGAGGCAGTAGTGAAAGTAAAGGCACTGTTGGCTCGTCCTTGCTCTCCGGCGGGTTCATCTTGTCTTGTCCGGACACTATTGGAAGAAACAGAGCGAGAGAGAACTTCTTGGGGCGGCTTCTTCCCCTGCCCTTCAGCGACGCTTTCCGCTCCTGGGTCACACATGGACCCCGGCGAGTAGCGGACGACAGATCTCTGAGGGGAAGCCGGCCCGGAGAAAGCGCCTTGCTTGTTTTCGCCGTTCAGGGAAGAGACACCGAGCCGCCGGAACTCGGGCGCTGTGAAAAGGTATTGCCTCCTTGTCTCGCTTTTCGCCCCGTTTCCGGGGATCGGAGCTGTCCAGGGTGCTGAAGCTACGGCGCCCCAGGCTCGCCTCCTTAGTAATAGGCACCGCCCGGACGCGAGGAAGTGTCCTTGGTGCTGAAAATACACACTCTC